CTTACCTGCCACATTTTTTACAAGGGAAAGTGTTTTCTTGATTCTGGGTCTTATTAAATGTCTCTGTTCTTTTCCTCTTCTCTGAAAAAGGTAGTGCCCTTCGTGACTTCCCTGGCCCCTCCCTTGGCTTCTCTGAGGCCTGGCCACTGGCAGACCCAGGGGCATTGGACTCGTGGCTTCGGAGGATGAGTATGTCATTGGCCTGGAAAGAATCAAACAAGGACAGTTGAGTGATTTGGGAAAGAGGATCCAGACTTCTGGAGTCTCAGGGAACAGAGACTCACACATTCTTGCTAAATGATCATCTAGCGTCTGCTTGAATCAATCCTTCAGTGACAAGGAACTCACCGCCTTCTGGACAGCCCACTTTGTCCTTGGCCAGCTCTGTCGCTTGGAAAGCTGTCAGTACAGTAGTTCAGTGGGATGGCCCTAGATGCTATAGGACCTCTCGAAGAGTCTGACAGGGGATTTTGGTGTCTCAATTAGTGAAGCACACGTTCATGTTTTCAGTCATTTAGTCCATTCATGCCTTCAATTCACAAATGAGATTCAGGTCTGTGTGATGTGTCAGCTACTAGGGATACACAGGGGACTGACAGGAGCCCCTGCCCTCAGAGAGCTCACAGTTGAGGAGAAGAGATGAACCTGCAGGCAGCTGGCTCACAACAGCATGGGAAATGCTGAAGAGAGGGGAAGAGCAGGTGCCACAAAATCAGAGCAGAGGGCACCTTGCTGAGACCTGGGGGAGGAGTAGGTGGTGCTCAGGGCACAGTATGCAGACCATGGGCCCGGGGTTGGGGAAGCCCCAGATGGCCATTAGAAGCGTAAGTATGTGCACTGTGCTGGCTCTCATAGGAAAGTGTCCACAGAACAAAGCTCTTGAAGCAGGAACACAGTCAAGGCCCAGAAGGGAGCAAACAACTGTGTGTTTGCAGTTTATGGGGGGTTTTCTGTAAGCATATGTGTACAACACAAATTAAAAAACAAAAAACCAGACTCTCATAGTAGTTCCCCAGCAGACCCCTCCCAATCTCTCCCCTTGCTTGGGGAAACTCTCCCTGACAAGGAGCAGCTCTACTTGGTAGGTCGTTTCCTGGCCTGGGATGTGGTGGATGGCGCACTGCACTAGGAGTCAGAGGACCTGGGGTGTGACCTCAGGCAAGTCACTTAGCGTCTCTGAACCCCAGTTTTCTCCATCTGCAAAATGGGGATTAACACTTTCTGGGGTTATTGTGAAGGACTAATAAGATAAAGGACATGCGTGAGGCACCACATTTGTTACTCCACATTTGTGCTTCAGTTCAGTTTCAGACATTCTCATCAAGGACGAAGCTCCCTTTGTGGGAGCCCCATCTGAGCTACAACTCATGAATGCTTCCCCAAACTCCTACATACCTTCTAGGTTTTCACAAAGCCTCTTTCCTCTGAATCTCAGATACAAAAGCAGTACAATGTAAAAATTAATAGACTGTGGAGTCAGGCTACCTATTAGCTGCATGCTAGCTGTGTTATTTTAGGCCTCAATTTTCTCTTCTGAAAAACGGGAATAATAATAGTACCTACCACATGAGGATTAAATGAGTTAATAGCATAAGGTACTCAGTACATCTGCTGCTATTATGATCATGACGACAGTTATCATGACCTGCTCTGCAGTTCCTCTCATACCCCCCAGTTCCAGCTATCCTCTTGGGCCTGGGCTTCCCGGGTGGAGTTACACTTACCGACTCATTGGCCTGTAGTGTCTGGGTGGCTTTGACGGCCGCCGCCCGCCGGCTCCGCTCTCGCCCTTCTTCCTGCTCCCCCTTCTCCTGGATCTCTGGCACTTCCTCTTCCCCCTCCTTCTTGGTCTCCTTCACCTCCCTCTTGGGCTCCAGCCTCTCTTCACTCGGGGATTCTCTTCTGGAAGGAGGCACCCTTGGGAACTTCTGGGAAGTCTATGGCGGGGGGGACAAGAAGGAGGGC